ACAGACACTATACTTTTTTTTCAACTTTTATAATAATAGACTTTTAGATTCAGTGAAAATAAGAAAATAAAAGAAACTTTCTTTAGTAAAATCATTGTCCGCTAAAGAGTGTGAGAGATTTTATAAATAAAAAACCCTTCTATTAAGCTAAATAGTTTTATTTTTGTTGTCTTCAGTGAATTTATAAAGGTTTTTTTTTAACTTGTTTCATTTCTACTCTTAAGTAATTATGAATTTAAAAAAAAAATATTCAGCCAATACGCAAGTTTTAAAACAACCAGTAAGCCTACTTTAATATTTTTTTCATTATCCTTTCCTTTATTGGAGTTAAGACTACATACCAATGAAAATATGTCTATACTTGGGAGGTGATTGCTCAAAGATAATAATCTGTCCCTTTTTACGTCAGTGGTCAGCTCTAAGACGTAAAACAACCTTTTGTGCAGCCCCCCTTACCCCATAAGTTTTGAGTGCCCCCCCCCCCCATTTTAGGAGAAAAATGTCTGAAAGAAACACTTAATCCGTGACCAACACATCGCCGTCATCTAACGCTGGTGTTCCCTCCCCACGCTCACACTTTCCCATTGAATTCAGTAACCTTATTGACTAATTCTACATCTAATTGTATTTAAAAAATCAATTATTCTAGCGCTGATCTTAGGAAACGAACGTAGCTGGAAAGTTTGAATGCAATCGTTGAATTAGAATCAGAAGCGTAGCGACTCATTCGGGCGCTTTGGGCTAACGTTCAATCTTTCGCCCTCACCACACGTTTATATAGTTATTCACGTTGCCAATAAAGCGACCCCCCCCCCCTCCCCTATTTTGACAGCCGTTTTTACTTTGGTGTCGCACAATTAATGTAGAAATAAGTCAGGAATGCCAAGAGGCAGTTTAGAGTCTGAGCTTTGACTGTGTATTATTTAGAACGGCAGCTTAGAATATGTTTTGTTTTTAAACCACGCTTGGCGCCTTCCCACAAACACTCCCTAAGCTACTCCTGGGATTAGGACCAGGTCTAAATTGGATTTCTAAGCACTGAAAGGAATTAACTTAGATATGAATCTATAAGGAAAAACGCGTGTGAATTATGTTTGTTGACATGTCTCTTCTCAGTTGTGTATATTTAAAACATGTATAATCAATACAATCAACAATGAGATGCTTACCCTCTAGTATATAAGAAAGCTATGGTAACAAGCGCAAATATAACAACCACAAGGAAGACACACTTCAAGCCAACCCCTTCCATTTTGCAATAAATGGCCATTTTAAGACACTTGACACACAATTTGCTGCTTAAACTCAATCAACCTATGTCTTTAAACATGAACAAGCCTCAAATATGAAAGAAAAGAAACGAGACTGTGATGCCTAAAAACTATCGATTATCGTGAATACAGAATGAATGTTCGCAGACAAAGGCAAGCAGCGTTGACATATTTAAAAAAAAACATTCTTTACTAAAAAGAGTAGGGAAATAAATAGCATTTACGCTAAACCAACAAAGAGAGGAGGGTTATATTATTAATACAAAATTGTTTGCATGTCTATTTAATTAAACCAGCCTCTATTTTCAATTATTTCTTTTAAAATGGGGTTCTTAATGGACCGAATAACACGTTTTATGTAAGGCGTAGTTGTTTAGTAAACGACGGAGTATAATGTTTGCAATCCTTGTAAATTTTTTAAGTGTCCCGAGAAACAACATTGATAAAGTCGGGCAATTTTAAATTAAGCTATTCAAATTAATTAACGGGTCATTACGGTTCAATGCACACAAACTGCTTGTATGTCACCCCCCTAAATGGTGTCACCCGGTGCGGTCGCACCCCCTGACCCCCCTCGCTACGCCCCTGCTTGTATGTCACCACAAACGAATCAGCGAATTATCAGCAACACAGACACGCAAAAATCACCAAGAAAGGCCCACCTGGATTTTCCCTAAAATCCACAATAGCCGATATAAATAACACGTAAAATCTTGCAAACAATGAGAGGTATTATGAACCTTGTTTTTACGAAAAACGAAATAATCGGTGGAATGTTGTAGATAAAGTGTTGAACCTCACGGAATGTTCAAATAATAGTGCATAGTATGATAGCATACCAATACGCATATGGTGGCCTTCAGTTCTACTATAAGAGCTAGCAGAGTTTCTTCCAGGCATCTCTTCAGGGGGGCGAAGCCCCCCCGAAATTTTTTTACCGCCCCCCCCCCCCCCCCCCCCGAACGATATGAAATTTATATAATTTATATAGAAAATATATACTTTTAACAGTGTCCGCCCCCCCGAAGAAAGTTTACCGCCCCCCCCCCCCCCGAAGATTTCAAGTGCCCCCCCCCGGAGAAAAAAGTCTGGAAGAAACACTGAGAGCTAGTTATGTGGATATGAGGGGGGGGTTGTAATAGTGAAGACATGTTACCAGGGGTGGACTGACTGTGTTCAAGAGGCCCGGGGAAATATTAAAAGCGACTCGCAACACCAGATTGAAATTTAAATTTTTGCATTTTTTTCTCCATCAAAGTCTCAATTTTACACCATGATATGAAGAGATGGAAATGGTATAATAGAGAAATACCAACAAATATTTTTTTAAAGTCAAACCACTAATAGGACTATTACAGCACTGTTTCTCGGGAAACCGCATATTACTCTGAATTTTGAATACAAATTGGAAGTGTTTTACTTAATCGATTTCCTTCTGTAAAAACATATCTGCTTCCCTCATATTATACATCAGCATCTATACAGCACCTCCTTGTTACAGAGGCGTAGCGACCCTTCCCGGCGCCCGGGGACAAACTTTCGATTTGCACCCCTCCCCCCTCAACCTTTCGATTTGCACCGCCCCCCTCAACCTTTCGATTTGCACCCCCCCCCCCCCCCATCAAACTTTCGATTTGCACCCCCCTAACTTTCGATTTGTTTTTATAACCCTTTTGGCGCCCCCTAAGGTTGGCGCCCGGGGACATATTCCCCCCCCCCCCCTCGCTAAGCCTCTGTCTTGTTATTGATTTAAAAAATGTATTGTTCGAAGGAGATCAATAGGCTATCGATTTAAATGTATTATTGATACCCATCTATTAATAGCCTTGGGAACAAGTGTCGTAAGCTACATTTTGCTCCTGGGTGGGGGGGGGGGCTTCAAAACTCAGAATAAGCCTTTTATTTTTTCTTCTTATGTCCCTCCCCCCCCCCCCCCCCCCCCACCTAGGGTTTGCGCCCAGGCGGTAGCCCCATCCTCCTTTCTAAAGCTACGCCTCTGCTGTTCATTGCCTATGGGACCTGAGCTAAATTTATTTAGCGACAATTGATTTTAACTACAATAAACTTAGTCATTTTTAGAGTACATTAAAAAGGCGCCAGCGTTTATCCATGGAATAATCATATAACGTAAGTTATCTCTCTCGTCTAAATACCGGAGATATAAACAAAGAGCAGTAACTTGAGCAAGCCACCTAAAATTTCATAAAAACGACAACATAAGCCTTATTTATCGGCAGTTCATGCTCCAACGACTCTATACAGTTAAAGATATCTTGCCGATATTTCAAAAAAGAAAATGTAATAACGCAAATTAGCACAAAATGCGAATTTTAAATTAAAAGGTAACAATACATATATATATATACATAATATATGGGCTTATATGTGTGTTTGCGTGTATGCATGTGTGTTTAGTCAATTATATAAAACATAACTAGCCAGAGGCGTAGCGATGGGGGTGGGTGGGGGTGAGGTGGGTTGGGGGGGGGCACATGTTCCCGGGCGGCGACCTTAGGGGGCGCCAAAATGGGTTGGAAAAAGTAATCAAAATTTTGAGGGGGGGGGGGTGCAAATCAAAAGTTTGAGGGGGGGGGGTGTGCAAATCAAAAGTTTGAGGGGGGGTGCAAATCGAAAGTTTGTCCCCGGGAAGGGTCGCTACGCCTCTGTAACTAGCTTTTGCATTATTTGAACTCAGGTTGGCTACGATAGTCGTACAGTCTTTAAATATGGGCCACCAAACTCGTAACCTCTCATTCCTGTCATCCACGTCAGCAACCATTCATTAAGGTGAACTAGGCGGTTGCTAGGGCACTATCCAAAGGGGACGCAAAAATGTGTAATCACCATTACAAAACAATAATCAACTTTGATTATAGTATTTAATTATAGACAGGGTAGGCCTAATATAATAAGAATTTCGAATATCCCAAATTTTTGTCTAATTTTAATGTTGATTTAGAGATCACTTCAGTGCACGACAGTGCGGGTCAATAATTTATTTCATAATGGTATTTTATAAGCTTTGTTGTTTTTTTCTTTAGGGGGTCATCCATAAATGACGTCAAGCTTTTTTGACGATTTTTACCCCCCCCCCCTCCCCTCCGTCACACGTCGTCACAAAAAGCCAGACCCCCCTAAAATGACGCCACACCTCAGCCTACACACCCCCCACCCCTCAAAAGAGTGGGCATGACTTAAAAAAGGACTTTTGTGTAACCGCCGTTCGGTTTTGCCACAATTTTAAAAATCGCCTTAGCACTGAAACGCGACTAATACTTAAATTTGGTACACGGGCACCCGATGGCTTGAATGAACAGATATCTTTCACCTAACAACCCCCCCCCCCCCCCTCCCGCATACACCACGCCCCCAACCCCACCCCTATACGGTGTCCAAGCGTCCTTCTCACGCGTCTTTTCTTTTGGATATCGTGGCTAGCAGACAAGACGTGTTTTCACTGTCGAGCTAAGTAAAAAAATGTGTTACTGTTTGTCTTTATATTCAGCAGTTTATTTTTTTAAATCCCAGTTCTGTTAGGCCTAAATATTTATTTGGCAGATTTCGGTAATTTGCCAGCTCTCTAGTACTGAAAATTAACAAAAGAACAATAACAAAGGGAGGCTTAACTTAAAACTTTAATTAAAGTTAAAAGCAAAACTTAAAACTGAAAGTCGTGCAGTGGACGCAGTAATCTAGATATAGAATCTAGATTCTAGATCTAATATCTAGATTCACCTTTGACTTACTGAGAATAACCGAACACTCTCACACAGTAATAATTATTGTGGTATTATAATTTTTTAGGTTATAAACTTATATTTAATATTTTGACTAAGCGCTAGTTTAGTAGTTAGTAGTCTAGTAGTGTAGTTAGGCTAGTACTAGTAGACTAGTAGACTCAAGCAAGAGTCAAGAAGACTCAGTTCAGTAACTTTTGTATTGTAACTTTATTAATTTATTATTATATTTTATATTAACTACTTTTTCTTACTACAGTGTACAGTTACTAACTTACTTAGTAATACTTACTACTAGTACTAGTACTAAGCACTGACTTAGTAAATAGTAAGTATGTTAGTCAATTTAGTTAGTGTCACAAAGTGTGAGTAGTTGTAGATGTAGTCGAAGTGATTTTAGTTATTAGTAGAATATTAATTATTAGGTAAAACCTTAGTTTAGCGTAGGATATTATCGGGTAATGTTTGTTGAGTTTCGGTAACTACATTTACGGTAAACCATGGTTTAGGGGTCATCCATAAATGACGTCACTCTTTTTTTTGACGATTTTTACCTCCCCCCCCCTCCTCTCCGTCACACGTCGTCACAAAAAGTCAGACCCCCCCCCTAAAATGACGTCACATCTCAACCTACAACCCCCTCAAATTTGCAGTTGAATTTTTTTAAAACATCGATATTTTTCTAAAATCTTGTCTAAACTATTACAATTTATTAAACGAAGTGATTTTTCTCCCCAACGTCTCCACTTAGTCGGCAAAAGATAGCTCTGCGCATGCGCAGAGACCTATGGCTAGGGTTAGGGCTAGAATGAGGGTTAGGGATAGGATTAGGGTTGGTGTTAGGGTTCTACTGTTGTAAACACACGCATGCGCAGTACCATCGAAAACATCACCGCGATGACAAGTCATAGTTTCTCTCCATTGCGCATGCATATGTTATTCCGGCTAGCATCGGCCTTTATTAAAACAGTTATCTAAAACTCGGAATAACATCTAAAATTCGTTTTCTAACATTGCTTTTTTATAATGCAAAAGTGTGACGTCGCAACATCTGAATCCCTCCCTCCCCCCTCATCACACATCGTCACAAAATTACGGACCCCCCCTCCCCCCTACGAGTGTGACGTCATTTTTGGATGACCCCTTATTTGACCATCGAAATATAAATAAAGTGAAAATCGATTGTAGTAAATTAATGTTTTAATTTTTTAAGTTTAATCGACAAAAGGAAACATGAATAAATATAATAGTAGATTTAAATAAGTAGATCTAAAAATAAAAAATATAAATAATAGAGTCAAATGTAATAATTTGTTTAGGTCTAATGTTTTTGGCTTGCAGCGAATATGCATTAATTAATTGGATCTAGATCTAGCTAGCTGCTAGGCCAAGTAAAAAAAATCTAGATTACGAAAATAGTAAAAATGATTACAAAAATGTTAAAATGATAACAAAAATAGTAAAAATGACTAGAGACAAGGTTCGTACCCTATTTTGAAAATGAAACCAGACCTTTGTAACCACACCATTATTAGTGCTTATAGAAACTTTTGTCTGCTATTAAAAACTACCGGTATCCCCCCCCCCCCCCCCCACACACACACACACACAACAAGAGACGGCGGAGGGGTTACTGTGAGGTCACAGTAGCCAAGTCTAATACATCATAGCCTGAACTGTACTGTAACCTTTTTAATTCCCCCTCCCCCCACCCTCCCCAGTCAAACAGCACCAACTACGTACTTGGGGTCACGGTGTGTTCATACAAGTTTAGATATCAGTGACCTTAGTTATTAGGAGGGGCGGGTTAGTCTAGCCCTAATGGTCAGTCTTTACAAAGATTTCAAAATCAGTTTGGAGAGTGAATTCAAAATACAGGTAGTTAAATTATACAAAGACTACCAGTTACAGCTTCCTGCATAATTTTTTTATAAGACTACCTGCCTGCATCCTCAGACAAACTTAAGAAATAAGAGCAGTAAAAAAAAAGAGGTCAAGATTAACGAACCCTGTTAAACACAAATAAAATAAATATATCCAAATTTTAAACATTGATATTCATCACAGAAACTAGTGAACTCTAAACATCAAAAAGGGAATTTAACTACTGTGCTAGACTAGATCTATTAAAAAATCTAGATTTAGGGCCTATATCAGATTATGTGTAATAAGAATAAGCTGCTTCTTGGGATAAAGTTTTAGTTATAGCCTTTTTATAGGTATAGTTGTCAGCTATAATCAATTAATGAAACACACAAAATATACGTTTATGGACAATTCCATTGTTGGACATCAGTACACTCAATATTCAGTCCTTTGTTTTCATCTATTAGAACTTAACTCTACTTTTAGTTTACAGAGATAAATTTCTTTAATTTAAAACAAAAATTTTAATAGTTTTAACTAAAAAAATACAAATGACAAATGTGCAAAAAAATTTCATTAAAGTAATTTATAGTCTCTCAATTTTTTGGGTTAAAGGAAGTATTGACACATTCATTTTGTTTCCAACCCTATTCAAAGCTATTTACATTATTTGCCATGTATTTTCTTTTAGATGGATGAAATTGACAAGAATGTAGAGGGAGAGAAATTGGCTGCTATAAAGCCAGTGAAAAAATTACTTCCAGCGAAGCCAGAAGAATTATTGGCAGTCATTTCAGAAAATAGGTCCATGGTATGCGTATTCATTTTTTTTCATTTCTAATTATTATTTTGTTATAGGCCTAGATCTTTTTAAAACCATTGGCTGAAACATCACCACCCTAAAATACACTCACCACATTTGAAAACAATCTACAGAAAAAAATACAAGTGATATTATTAGGTACTAAACAAAGTGTATCTAAAAGATAATAATTACTTAATATAGTAATATTTAAGTTAATAAATTATCAGTCGTTATAATTGAAATTTGTATATTCCAGGGTAATGCATTTAAGTTTTTACTAAATGAAGCAGTGAATACATTGTACGCTGGAAACGATGCAGACTGCTTAGACATGTGTGAGCCTCTTCACCACAAAGTATGGGAAGAGCTGAACACTGGTTACTGGAAGGATGTCCCGATCTGTTGGAGGCAGGCGTACTCTCTTGTCTCTGTGATGAAGGCCTTGTGCCTCTGTTCCCTACTCTCCGACACAACCAGGAACATTGATCACATGACAATAATAAAAACCTGTGATATGGGGTTGCTTATGGGAGCACCCATACTAAACAATATATTAGCCAGGATGTCTCATGAATTTCAGGAAGCTTTTGGCTTTTTGAAATATGAGAAAGCAGAAGAAGAAAACAGTGTAGATGATGATAAGCCTTGCTTTAGTGAAGTCTCAGCGGGTAAGAAAGCGAAATTAGATGAAGTCATTAACCCTGAGCAAGATAAGCAGAAGGCTGAGAAAGAAAAGGAGACGGAAAATGTGGATATGTCGATATCATTGCCACCTCGTGTGGAGACTCAGACCACTCGTGACATCCCACGCTGCTCGTGCCCGTCTGTTGAAATGTTTCAAGCCATGTTTCTTGAGTCCGGTCATCCAGTTGTCATCACAGACGCAATAGGATACTGGCCTGCGCTGACCACTCGCAAATGGACTGTTGATTATTTGAGATCAGTGGCGGGCTGTCGAACTGTGCCTGTGGAAATAGGATCAAGATACACAGAAGATGACTGGACCCAAAAGTTAATAACTATTAATGAGTTAATTGATACTTATATTGCAAACCCTAAGTCTGATACTAAAGCTTATCTGGCACAACATCAGCTATTTGACCAGGTAATATTTTTTTGTTTTTAGTTAATTACTGCTTGTCAGCTTAGTTATCGAACATTTTGCAATGGTGATAAGCTTGATAGAATGCATATTATTTCATTTTCGTAGGTATATTTATTTATTTATTTATTATAATCAACACTAGTCAAATTTGGTCTATAAAAATGTAACATAAAGCGACATAAACCCTTTTGAGGATGAAGCATTAAAAATAATAATAATTAATGGTTTTGTAACCATAACGCTTTGTTCTTTTTCCCCATTTGGTAATGATACACACCTTCTAGAATATAATCTCAACACTAATTTTTCTGATACCAGTAGAAGACCTCATCTCCCTCCTGACAACTCTGTGTTATTCCAATATGTTTCATCCATTAGAGGTGAGGAATTAACTAACCTGTGTTGTTGTATCCATTAGGTCTGGGAGTTGCGAGATGACATCAGTGTGCCAGTGTACTGTTGCCTGGGTAAGGAAGAAGACGTGGACATCAACGCCTGGTTTGGGCCTGCTGGTACAATATCTCCACTTCACCAGGACCCAAAACACAACTTCCTCTGTCAGGTGAGTACAGATTTTTTATATCATCACTTTTTTTAAAAATAACATTTTGCTAAAATAATGTATATTTCCTTCGTAAAATATTTTAAACATAATGTAAAGAAATGTTGTTGAAGTAACCATATTATACAGCCCTTAAATGAAGTGCTCAAGTAGATTAACTGTCTAACTAAAGGAATAGGTATAAACTATGGGAGGCTTAATAACAAAACTAATTCACTTTCATTTTAAGATCTAAAATTCTGCTAATATTCCACTGTTAAAAGCAAGTAAAGCAGTTTAAGAAGCAGTTCATTAGAAATGTTTTCTCTTAAGTGCATGTTTTTATTTATATCTAAATATAATAAGGTAGCACCAAAATCTTGTCTGGCTCATTTAAAATGTGTGCCTTTTTAATTGGATCAATCAAAATTTTATATTAAATCACATTTCTTGAGAAAAACACTAATTATGTTGAATTTATTTACTGCAGTATTTATTTAAAAATTGAGTTAATATATTGTTACTGTTATTGATGTAGGTGATGGGCACGAAGTACATCAGACTTTACTCAAGTGAACACACAAGCAGCATGTACCCCCATGAGGGTTTCCTGTTACACAACACCAGCCAGATAGACCTGGACTCCCCAGACCTGGAGAAGTTTCCAGACTTTGCCAGCCTGCCCTGTCTGGAGTGTGTTCTCAGGCCAGGGGAGATGCTGTACATTCCACCCAACCACTGGCACTATGTCAAATCCTTGTCTGTCAGTTTCTCTGTCAGTTTCTGGTGGCAGTGAGGTTTTATGTGTGTTGTATCACTTGAATGTTGTAGGGGAGGTGTCAAAGTTATGGTCCCAATCACTAGCACTATGTTAAGTCATTTTCTCTGAGTTTTTGATGAGTTTCTTGTATTACTTTAAGGGGTGGAGTGAGGATGGTTACCAAAGTTATGGTACCAAACACTTAAATCAAGTTGTCATCTGTTAGTTTCTTCTCTGTCAGTTTCTCTGACATCTCATGGCAGTGATGGCTGGGTTTCTTGTATCACATAAAGGAAGAAGGGTGTTGAGGTACCAAAGCAGTGGTTCTTAACACTTAAAATTATGTCTGTTAGTTTCTTTCTCATTTCCTGCTTTTCAGATGTGTGGGTGTCTTGTTTAACCTAAATTGGTGGGTTGGTTAGAGGGAGAGGGGGGGGGATCCAAAGTTATGGTTCTAACCATGTAAATTAGGTTAAGTTAGTCGGTTAGTTTCAGTGTCTTCTTCTGGTGGTAGTGGGGGGGGGGGGGGAGAGGCACAAAAATTGTTCCCTACCACTGGCATTAAATTAAACCATTATCTATATGTTTCCTGTGTTGCTTGATGATCTTGTGGAGCTACTAAAGCTTTGTTATCTTTTAGTTTCACTTCCAGCGTCTCGTTCTAGTGATGCCTGGCTTCTTGAATCATGTTAAAGGTTTGGATCTAATAGAAATGAAGATAAACATTCACTGACATTCCTCTCTCTCTGTATCCATTACTGCTTACAAGTTATGTTTATAGGCATCAGTCTTGTTACAAGTAGCACTAACAACTTTCTGTTACAAATTAAACATGAAACAGCAGATGATAAATGGATCCAATGGCACAGGTGCTCTGTGTGACAATCATGTTTTCATTTAGAATGTTTGTGTTGCCATTGTTTTGTGCCATGAAATCAGAATTTAAAATTTCATCCAGTGTGTATTAATTTTTTTTTTAAATATTGGATCATTTAAAGAAAAGATATTTAACACATCGGGATTTCAACAAAATATTTATATGAGTCAACACTATAGCACTTTGTAAGCTAATAGTAATACATTATACCTGAAATTGTTACTGTATATTTCTCTTTCCATACATTTTCATAAGTTATGTAAACATATATGATGTGTGTATTGTTATGCTGTTGTTAGCAGCGAAATCAAGTATTAATTCAACTCCTGATTTAAAAAGCAATTGCCTTACAACTATTTATCTCTGCCTATTCACACTTTTGCAAAATGTATTTATGCCATAATGTTTTTGTACTCAAGGTTTTCAGCCATTTTGTTTGCCATCATACCTGATTGAAACTATGAACCAAATAAACTACTGATACCTGTAACTGAGATGTATGATGATAACATGATGTATGATTTTTTATCACTTGGCAACATCACATATGTATATATCATTACAACAAATATTACTATTTTTAAGCATTGCTAGTGGTACATAGCATATTTTTGCTCCATAAAGGCACTTTATTAAATTAATAGAAATAAAAAGTGGATTTAACAACTCCTGATTTTGAAGAGTTAAATAGATCTATATGGTAATTGATTTATTGTTATATTTTTTTGTATAATTTTTATTGTATAATGTTTGTAACATTAATCATTGTTGTAGATTATATTCTGTTTTATGTAATTATTAAATTCAATGAAGTTATTTTTGTTTTGCTAAAATTGACTAGAGTGATCACCAAAGCTTCATCCTAATAAACTGATTCTGCACTCTCATGTTGTACATATGAATTTTAAATGGGATAGTGAATAAGTTCATTTACAATGTTTAGGTGGATTCAAAATGTAAAAAAAAAATTAGTTTTTCTAATTTCTACAATGAATAGTATGTAGTGGTTTTTTTTATTGTTTAGATGACTTTACTATGAGCAAAATCCACAGAGAAAACTTAATAAAATTGATTTTGGTTATTTCCCTTACTACATTGTTAGAAAAATTTTCAGTTCATTTAATATGGCATTTGTTGTAAATATTGTATATAGGTGTAGTTATGCACACCGAAAGTTGAACTTTTGATAACAATAAACTAATTGCATATTGATTTTCAACTTTTTATTGTTACTATAATACAAGGCTAAGACTATTAAAGCTTCATGTTTGTTAATAGGTCCTAGTATCAAAGCAGCTGTAAATTGTGACTTTGTTACTAATCTTCTAACAAGTTCAATAGAAATAGTAAGAATATATAGTCCATTTTACTTTGGATCTTGTGTAGCCTATATATAACACAAAACTGTTGTCTTCTGTGTACCTCAGACTAATTCACCAGTTTATAATTTCAAACATTCTAAAGGTGCTTAAAAATGGTCAGTTTTTATCAAAGATTTATTTTTTAGTTCTGTATGGTTAGGACTACTGTTTGCTTTTGAGTGGTGGGTAAAAAGAGTAGGGTTTCTTTCAGATATTTTTCTCCAGGTGGCTACTTGAAACTCCAGGGATGGGGTATCTAGAAAATATCACGTGGGTGGACACTGAGTTAAGTGTAAAACTGGACACATTTTTATGAATATTGAGACAACGATTTGACAAATATGTCAACTCCTTTTTACTATCAGTAGCTGCTATCTTGCGTACCATTTCTTGTAGTGCAGGTGCATTATATTCAAGCATGGAATTTTACTCTGCACAGCTGGAAATACCTATTCTCTCTGCTAACTCCAGAGCCGGCGTTTGGGGGGTGGCGAATGGGGCGGCCGCCCCAGGCCCCGCGCTTGAAGGGGCACCGCGCTTTTGCACCGTCATTGTTGTCTGAATTAGTTTTTAAACTTAAATAATCGTTGCAGAATTCAAACTGAGGCCATGGTTGGTTTTACTGAGTTTTCATCCACCTGAACTGGGACAGACCGTTATTCTGAAGAAAGACATTAGTGTCACACCTAGCAGTGTAAAGGGCACGTTCGCCTCGCAATTGACCTGGGGTGACTGGAGATAGCGGTCGCGAATTAGCCCCCCCCCCCCCCCCCACACCTGACATGCAGAGTTTCTTCCAGGCATCTCTTCAGGGGAGGAAGAAAGTCTACCGCCCCCTCCCCTCCCTGAATGAAATAAAATTTACATAGAAAACATACTTTTACCAGTGTCCGCCTCCCCCCCCCCCCGGGAAAATGTTGTCCACCGTCCCCCTCCCCACCACGAAAATATCAAGTGTCCCCCCGGAGAAAACAGTCTGGAAGAAACACTGCTGACATGGGATGTAAATATGGGAAAACACGTAATGAGGTACCCTATTGTATTCGGACCGATGAAAACTTTTTTTTAGTGAGTAGGAGGTATCTTTTATGTAATTATGCTTATACATTAAAATACTTTTGAAGGGCATCCATACAGTAATTATGTCCTTATTTATTTTGGTGATCTATAAGGGCATTTATAATGGTTAAGACTATATTGATTTTTTATTTTAAATATTGTAGGGATTCTAAACAAAATGTGAAGTCCATACTGTTTTTATACATCTGCCGAGTTTGCCTTATTGTAAACTTGTCCTGATTTCTCACACGTCTAAAGTACCGACATTAACGGCAGTCCAAGCATGCTGTGGAGAAACTCATAAATAAGCTCTAGCAGGTTGTCACGTGGTTCACTTCTTAATTATAGACACGAACCTTCTATTGTGAGACCGCGGTCTTGACCGGTAAAGTAATACGTGGACGCTCTTTAAACACGAGGCTCCTCTCCTCTTGAATTACTCTGGTCAAAGATCCAGTAACGTAGTGCCGGAACTTGGAGATCCTTTTCCTAGGGTCTGTCATCTCACATCCATAGGTTTAAATCCACAGTTATCCTTTACCTCACCCCGACCAACTGTCAGCAACTCCAGCGTTCTACCTTTCCCAGCGTCTGTGATTACATTCGAGTAATTTCTTTTGGATATCAATAGCCGAAAAGTGTTGATTCACGATTCGAGATAAGTCCAAATTCAAGCAATGTTTTTTATATTTGTTTTAACTTTACTTTTATTTTGTTGATATTTTAATTTGTCTAAAATTCTCTGCTTACTAACCGTTTTTGTCCTGATTTTTGGCATGTGATTTTCTTTGGTGATTTGGTATCGATTATAGAACTGTCAAAAGTGATTTAATATCTTAGGAAATATCAAATAACATTAGGTAAACCGTGGGAGAGGTGAACATCTGCTATTAAAGTGAGTTCGGCATAAACTCAAAAACATGTATGCGTTATTACGTGCGCATGTGTATTTTAAATATATATGTATATATATATATATATATATATATATATATATATATATATATATATATATATATATATATATATATATATATATAAACATTTGGGAGGGGGTCTGGAGTTAGCCAGTGCATCCACATTCCTTTGCGCACACCAAAATTCGTACACTATTTCGCTGAATTGACACAGCCTCGCTGTAGATCTGTTTTTAGACACCTATGGAAAAAATTCAGGCCCCGCTCGGAGTGTTGGCCTGAGCCCCGCGTATTCCTAACGCCGGCTCTGGCTAACTCCAATGATAGACCAATTATTGCCATAATTTAGTTTTGAGATGTTTGACTAGATCTAAGGATGGTATGCAGTCTGATCATCTGAAAATCTGTTAATGTTTAATGTACTTTTTTTTTTATAAAAGACTTGTTTCTTAGATGATTGTCAATATCTGCTTCCGGTTTGAAGTAATTTTTCAACACTAAGAGCGTTCAACCGGAAAAGAATTCTAAATAAGAAACTTTTGGTCCTCTTCGTTTAAAATTATAAATTTTTTAGCATCAATAGTAGTTTCCTCTAAAAGACATAATTTTGTGTCATTGGTCATACTTAGCTTATCCAACATGTTAGTGATGTTTAGAAAATACATAAATTTGAACAAAAATATATAATTGCCCAAATTGACACCGGGGGCGGCGTGGCCTAGAGATGGAGCGCTAGACTGCGAACTCGATAGTTACGAGTTCGAATCCCTTGAATCCACCCAACTCTGATGGGTACCTAATTCACAAAATACAATAAATAATTGATCTCTTAGCTGACTTTTATTTCTAGAAAAGTTAACTATAATATCTGTGACAGTTGCCAGTTTAATTTTTTCCATTATTAAACTTTAAACCACGGATAAAAGTCAGAGAATAACTCTAATGTTTATGTCCACTTAGAAAGATCACATGGAGCACCACCAGGTCTCTGAAAAGTATGAGTAGGATCTAAAAACTTCTCACTCCAATAGCTTTTTTTTTTTCACTTTTCTATACTCATAGTTAGGTTATCAACTACAAATCTAACTCTTGTCGTGGATGTACTCTTCTTTGAATGAAGGTAAAT